AAAAAATTTTTTTTTTTTGAAAATTTTTTTTTTTTTTTTTTTTTTTTTTTTTTTTGCGACCCACGTAAAGTTAAGCATTGTTTATTTTTCCTAAGTTAGCTTTTAAGTTTGACACCCCTGTTGTAGAGTATATTTTTAAATTAGTAAAGCGTATTGTTATGAGTAATTACGATGAAATCTAACACAAGCTCATTTCATTGTTATTCTTTTCAGATACGTAATTGCAAGGATGTCTTATTACGGCTCTTCTGAAGCCGCTCTTGGCAACACATTTGATGCTTCATTTTCAGAGAAAAGTATACGGCATGGTAAGTTTCGTACTTCTTTTAAACTTAGTAAGGGATATCTTAATACTTAACAGGATACTTAAACTCTGTTTTTTAAATTTTCAATACAAAGAAGATAGCTAAATTGTAACGTGTTTTGTTTAGCATGAAAATGAATCTTTAAAATCATTTATCTCGAAACGAGATTTTTTAAATTTACCGTTTTTTTTTTCCTTAATAAGAAATGTTTAACTAAATGAGTCTAAATAATATAAAAAAGAATTAAGATAATCATTCGAATCCTCTTTAAAGATGATGTTAATTGGTCATAAATTCTTTGTTTGAGATAAACTGATTTGTTTGGTAGGTCCCTATATCAAATTTCTACGGGGTGTCCCGTATAGACAGCACGTAATGTCTATTTTTTAGAATTCTTATCTAAAATAATAACAAAAATGTATGCATATTAGGGGTCTCAAATAAATATTTTCCCGAGGGGCACCAGAAACGCTAACGAAATCTGACAAATTGCAATAAAAGTAGATGGATGTAATAAACATCAAAACAGGTTTAATTCGAGGTTAAAACTTGAAGGCAGGGTTTGAAAAAACCCAAACAGCCCGGATTTTATTGAAAAAACCCGGGGGAAATTTGGTTTTTTCATTTAGTGCTCATAAACTTTAAAATTTTACTGCGAAATATTTTTATTTATTAAATTTTGTTATATAAGCTTAAAAATAGAAATAAATCCAAGAAGTTTATATAAAATATATATAATAAAATTAAAATAAGTTTAAATAATGCACTATCATTAATACATGTTTGAATCTTTATTGTTAAATACGTAACGTTTCACAATTTTTAACTGCAGCACTATAAAATATAAATGCAACAGTAATATAAAAGGAACAAGTTAATTAATCTTTTTGTTTTCCCACACATCTATTTACTATATTTATTGAGCATATATATATATATATACATATATATAACATAATAAATAAATACAAAATACAGGAAGAAAATTAAGAAAAACAATAGGTTTTATTTATTGCGCATTCGGCAAGTAAATCGAACTCATAAAATAAATTCAAAAAGTAGAGAAAACAAGGGAAAAATTACAGAACAATGAAAGAAGAGGCTATATATATATATATATATATATATATATATATATTGTCAGCAGATGTTAAGAGTTAACTTAAAAAAAGGTCTATTTATTTATTCATTATTATTATTATCATACAGCAGATTCAAAGTGTCTACATTTCTCTCTTAGATGGTGATACACTTTTACGAGTTTTGCTGATTTATCTATTTTTAATCTATTTCGTAGTTTACTCCACACCAAATCGAAAGTTGAAAAGTTTCTTTCGATAGAGAGAGGATGCTGGTGCTGAGCGTAAAGAAAAAAGAATTGCAGAAATTTTTTGGAAGCTTAGAATTTTTTTTTTTTGCCTTAATTTTCCATTATTTTTTGATGAAAACTTTGAATAACAGTGTCAAGCACCATTGATTTTGGAAAGTATTCAGGATCGGAAATTTTGAATGCCATAACACCTGGCAGAAATTCTGGATGATGCTTAGAAAAACAGTTTTCTGCTAATCATTTAAAAATTGTTGCTGTTCATCATTTGAAAATTGTCCCCTTGTTTCGGGATCCAGGATGCACATGCTAATAAATGAGGTGGCTGATGGAATCTTTTTACAAAATGTTTATGGGGTTCTAATTCATCACACGATCGTAAATTAATTCATATTTCAACAGCTTCTGAAATTGAAATGTTTTCTAATTGAAGCTTTTTTAAAGCTTCAGAAACAACTGATATCTGTTTTTCTAAATTGATAGTTTATTAGTAAAGCCCAACAGTATTTAATATTTTTGACGTATTATTATTAGATCCATTTTGATGTTCAAGATATTTATGGTAATTATTGGCAAAAGTTTTTGCGCGGTCGCAATGTGAACTCCACCTAGTATCATTTGGTAATTGGGGCAACAAGCAGTTTTTATCATTTGCTCATCCATGTGCTTGATGCACATTTCTAAAATATTAGAAATGTGCATCAACGTGCAATGATAGTATTAGGAGATACTTCTTTTTCAACCACATTTAAAAAAACCAATTTGTGAAAAAACCCACTAAGTGGTTTTTTTCAAGGTGGGCTCACCCAATAAAACCCGGGCGGGTTTTTTCAAAGTGGGCCCACTTGGCGAACCCTGCTTGAAGGTGTCGTTTTTTAACTGCTGTTTCCTTCCACAATGAAACCTGTCTCACTGTTTATCACAGGGATGGGCAAACTACGGCCCGCGGATAGAATTTTAAGTTGCCGATCAGTGGCAAATATAAACAACGTACATCCATTTTCTTGTTGATTTTGTTGAAAGCTATTTATGCTCTTTCTTTTTTAACAAAGTACTGATGACCTTTTTACTTTCTCTATTTTTTGTTCCATAAAACATAAATTGATGGAAATAGTTAGCGCTGACAGCTTCAATTTGTAAAATGTTGAAAGCAGAAGTTCTTCATAGAATAGCCGTAGATGGGCTCTAAATAGCGTTTGTCTTTCTCGAGGAGCAGACTTATGGAATCTAATATAGGTGAATTGTACTTCACATGTGGCAGACTGCGCATTTCAATTTCCAACGAGCAGACAATCTAACGATCATCTGAAGCAGTTGTTTCTAAATATGCCCAAAGTTTGAGTTTCACAAATCATTACCAAAGGCTAATTTCCAAAATCTAATATTCCATGCCCAGAAAATCCATGTTAGCTATGTTTGCTTAATCCTATATACGTGAACAAGAGTTTTCAATTATGAACCATAGAAAAAATCTTTTCAGAAGTAGACTAACAGACAAGGATTTAGCCTCTTGCCTTAAAATAAGTGCATCTCACTTCGACCCTCAATATAAGGAACTTTTAAAAATTTAATCGCAGTTTCATTCATCTCACTAAATATTTAAATTAAAACTTGTACATCGCTTTTTTTTTCTTTTAAATTTTGAAGTTTTTACTTGGCCCACCAAAAAAAATTTTTCTCGATTTTTGGCCCTCAACCAAAAAAGTTTGCCCATCCCTGGTTTATCACATCTGATTATCTGCACTGTGATTTGTTAGATATCGTTAGCATTTTTAATTTTCTTCCTCGTTTGAATATTAATTTACAACTCTCCAATGTGCATTTTTTTTTTTTTAAATTTTCGATAAAGACTCTAAAAATACATATCAAGGACAGTCTTTACGAACACTCTGTATAAGCAATAATTTCCTATAAGGGTTAACTATTTCAGGAGAAATATTATTTAAAAATTCTTGTTTAAAGAAATTTTCAAGCTGGTATTTAAACTGGTGTCAAACAAAACTCCTCTTACAGGATTCTTTAAATAAGTATTTGTTCCAGATCCCAGGACATCCTGCTGACATTTCTCTCTTTTATTTTGAGACAGACTGAGTTTATAACGTCTTTTAATTATGTTATACTGAGAACGCAATGATAGTTGAGTTATGCAGTGTAACTAACACCAGACTCGAGTGCTATTAAACTTCATACACTCAGGTTTAGAAATTAAGGATAATAAAAGCTTTGGCAAATAAAGGTTCAGAAACAAAACAAACATGACGTATTCATGGAGCCCATTTATTAAGCAAAAGACAACAAAAAATGTATGATATAATACCATTCATAAAGACTACGAGCCCTGTAGTAATTATAAAAAATATCTCCTTCACAAAAACTTAAAATTACGTGGTTGGTATCATTGTATGTCTCCCATCCGATGAAATACAGTCCGTACAACTCCTAGGACTGCTGAATATAATATTATCGAGCTAATTTTGGAGAAGATGACTCCACTCAGCTAGCAATGCTCTCCGAAGTTCTGGTACTCATAGGAGGTGATTGACTGATTGCAACTCGTCGATCTAGCATGTCCCAGACATGCTCTATCGGTTTCAAGCCACGTGAGAATGCTGGCCATTCCATACGGAGAATATCTTTAGATTGAAGGCATTCGTTTACGATGTCTGCTAGATGAAGACGGGTGTTTTCATTCATAAGCCGAAATTCTGTGACCATGTCACCCCTAAACAAATGTACAAGTTGTCCCAGAATGGCATCCCTATAAATTTGGCTTGTCATGGTTTCGATTTTCACATGCAGATCTGTTCTAGAGCCCCTTATAAATTCCACTCCAAATGAGCAATCGTGCATCACCGTAATGGCTTCGTTCAATGATGTTGTCTTGGTATTAACTGCTACCTGGCGTTCTCCGTATGAAAGTTCGACGTGAATCAGACTGTAAGATAAACCTGGACTCGTCGGTAAACATCACACAAGCCCACTGTAGCGATCTCCACATTGCATGTTCAAACAAGGTCCCCAAATAACAACCTTGTTCAGGATTGTTCATATCCTTCTCCCAAAAATAGCAAATAGTATCGACTGATACCACGTGATGAAGGCGGAGCCTTCTGGTGAACGAACTATATATTTATTCGAGGAAAATATCATTCGATGATATATTTATTTATTTTTGTCTGATTTTATTACTTAATAGCTAGTGCTAGATAGCCAGGATAGCCTAGCTGGTAGGGCACTGGGCCCATGTCCAAGAGTTCGTGGGTTCGATCCCATGCCGGCCGAAAACTCCCCGTGTAGTAAATGGTGACTGATGCATGTTAAATCTGCCGAGTCGCAAAGTCCTCCATGTTAACACAACAAATCAATACCTTTAGGGGTACTGATCCAGGAGTTTCCTTGTCTTCTGGATCGGCTCAAAATTACAAGGCTACGGAGTTGAACATTAGTAGTCGTAAACCCAAAATTGGGTCAGCTGTTCAACGACGGTTACAAAGTAAAAAAAAAAAAAATAGCGCTAATTTATTAGCATATTTATGATCAACCTTTTAAAACATCAAGGTTGGATTAAAATCTGATCATGAGAACAAAATCTCTTCAGGTTGATACCTTTTCTTTTTTTTAAAATTATCTTGGTATAATAATTTTCAAATTATTTATTCATCTACCTATTATATAC